TTTTGATATTTTAGTTCACCACATGAAATGCGATTATTAATTATTCTATCTATACTGGTTATTTTGTGCTCAGCTTACGAAGATCTCTACATTCTTATCGATGAAATCAGTCTATATAATTGCAGAGGAGGTAAGACTTTGCTGCTAGGCCATCAAAAATTATTTTTTGCGACAGCAAACGAATCACCAACATTTTTCCGATTTCTTATAACATCAGGTTGTCCCAAAAGTAAACCCCATTTCTAAATCAATCAAACTGTTTTTGTTTTCCTATCAGACTTAGGGTAGCATTCGATAGAGCCAAGCAAGCTCTACGAAATGAACACCAGACTGCCTACGTCTAATCCAGGTAGAGTCTAAAGCCAATTGAAAGTTGTTACCTGAAAATAGGATTATTGCGAGAAAAAATCTTACGGACCTGAAATTTGGTCGTTATACAGTAAACATATAATAGCACTCAAATCTTTATGGATCTTTACTGATCTTTCCGCGCCTAGAAAGCGAGAAAAGGTCCAAAAATAGTAAGCTCCGCCCCAGTCCCTCCCACCATGTCATTGTATACAAACCATAAGCATAACCTTATAATTTTGCCTCTGCTAGTGCTTTGGTAGTCGAGAAGTACCAAGTTTAAGACAAAAAAAAAACGATAAAAGCGGTTGAACGAAGCGTTTTGACATTTTCGGTGCATTTCAAATTCTCAGTTTGAATCCCGGATGTGGGTACTACTATAGGTCTACTGTATGATGATAAAGATGGAGGTCTAAGAATTTTCTGGTAAGAGATCTAACTTTTGGGTTACTCGGAAAACATCAAATTTTGGCTCAAAATTCTAACTGAATTATGACCTAGCGGATTCTGTCGGCCATTTTGTACTTGCTTTACTCTATCAAAGTATGTACCCTATGTCCGGCAGGAACAAAAACAGCTCATTTCGTATGGAAAAGGAGTTTAATTTTGAGCTTAATAGTAAGAACTGCTTCTCGAAAGAAAGCTAGAATACATGCAGTACTGAATCAATGATTTATGTTGTTGCCAACTGTGAATATCTCATCTTTCAGTGAAAAATGAAATAAAAATAGAAGAAGAAGATGTAAATATTATCAACGAAAAAGGAAATAAGGTACGAGTTTGTCTCTACCACTTCATACATATCAGCCTCAGCCATCCACTTAACAGCGCTTATTACCAGGTTTATTATATCCATGCTCCTGGCAACTACTCATTGCATTTCAAGCGGATCAAAGTGGAGAAAGACTTCGGCTTTTTAGCCGGTGAAATTGGCGTTACACTACAAGTGCCTATTATCGAAGGACCAGCTGGTAATGACTCCTCGTGATGCAGAAAAAAAAGGAAAGCAGCTTGAACAAGGTTTTTTAGGGATTCGATTTGACTTACCGTATACGATGGTGCCAGAGACAGGACTACTTTCACAGCAATGCGATGAATTTAGTGGCATAATTGAACGAAATGGACGGCAATATTGGTGAGCTAATTCTTTAATGCAAATGCTGTGCCCTTGTATAAATTGTATGAATTATTTCGTCCCAAAACTTCCTTCGCATCGTTTTCAAAATGCATACTTCTCGCTTTTTCAGAGTTTGCACAATTTCAGTTTTAAAGAGAAAATCATGCACTTTACAAAACCTTTTAAAAATACTTTTCTACACGCAAACACTGCAGCTATAGAATTTTTAAATAGTGAAATTTTATTGCTGTTTATTTACTATTTTGTATATCTGTGTAGAGTTTCCAAGAATCTACCTTGAGCCAAAATTCGAAAAAGTTGGTATTAGGTTTCAATCTGCTCATTTTTAGTGAAATTGTTGATTGGTTTATCTTGTGAGAAGTTATGGTTTTCGAATAAGAGCACAAAACGGCACATTTGGCTTTTTTGCAACTCGAAAATTATAATTTTTGACATGAACTATCGATCAGCACAAACTTTTCTCACAATTTCAAAAAATGTTCACAAACTTTCTGGCCGATCTTATTCTCATTGATTATTGAAACTTTTTTAAAATCATTGAATTTTAAGGACTGTGATATAAACAATCAAATTTTCAGTGGTTTGCAGGCCACCTTTTATATTACTTTCACTCAGAATTTGTCAAGTCCATTTTTCTACCCTACATCTTGACTTCGACCAAGGGCTTCTTTCAGCTTGTTTTGGTTAGGCAAAAGAGAGTGAAAGCATCCATACGCCACGATTTGATAACATTCGAGAGAATGAGCGTGATTCACCTCAGATTATCCATTATTTCTTTCACTGCATTTTGTCCTCGTCTAGAAAAATTCCTGTCGAAGAAGAAAGAGAAAACATTGTTTTTCTTGCCAGTTGACTGCAAACAATAGCACTTAATAGGCAGAAGAAATTTTGGTAAAGCGGAGATTACAAACAGCAAGCATCGAGCATCTTTTGCTTCTTTTTTTTTTATCTGTAGCTAACACTATCAAATCCCTCCGAAAATGATGCAACACGCTGGGCAAACTGACCATCACATTAATTAGCATTCAATACTTCTCAATCTAAAGAGATGTTCGGATGTTTCGATGATCAGCGATATCCAATAGTGGACATTATCGAACACTGGACCGAGTATAACCGGATTTGCATTTGCACTTGCAGTGGAGTGAAACATTTGCCAAATGTAGACAGGCGATGACCGCGCAGCAAAAAAGAAATAGTTGTATTATATGTTTTCAACATAGCAATTTTCAGCAGATATTGTGATTTGTGTGGAGTTGGAGAGCGTTTGCAAGAGGAATTGAATGGAGAAGGGCATCAGGTAGATTGACAGTCTTTCAAGAGAATTTTTGCAGTATTTTTAGAACATTATTTATTTAGTTTCTTCCTTCCATGCCTGGTGACACACAGACAGACGGACAGAGATGTGGATCAGTATCTGCCAGAGAGTACGATTTCAAGGTATAAAGTCTGAAAAAGTACTTCAAGGTCAGAAACTCTTCCTATCTATTTTAGAGAACCATCAGTTTACCAAACAGAAATACTCTCGAGCAGCTTATACGGAGTAAAGTGCAGGGAGTGGATGATGAAGTCAAAAAGAGGCTCAATAAAGGGGTGAGCTTGTAACATTTACGAGAGGTTATCAACCATTATTGGTCAATTCTGGGTAGTGAAAGTACTATGGTATGCTGGAATTTTGCTTTCACCTACCATGTCTAGACATTTCTGAGACTATTCTGCTTGTTATGATCTGGAATAGCGAGTGCAAGTTCTTGTGATAAACTGCATTGAGAATGGCATTTTCGCTATTTAACACATTGGTTCTAAATCCCATTGGTGATTTCAAAGTTGTTGGTTCTAATTCTCTTTGGTGATTTCAAAATTGAAGTTAATCACAACAATTTTGTGAAAGCATACGATTCGCTATCAAAGGATAAGACAGGTGTACATTTGGGAACAGGAGTAGAATTAAGCTGCAAAAGTTCTGTCACTTTGACTTAGGAAAATTCGTAACTGCTTTCCATCGCACTGCCTCATTTAGATTACCTAAAACTTCATCTACTTTCTAACCACATCTTCGCTGCTGCTCGTTGACGAGAATAGAATCCAGAGATAAAAAATCGAGTGGGAGAAATTCAAACTCTCGATTTTCGAAAATAATTTGTTAAAAATCTGATGCGCTCAGAGAAACCTGAAAACATATCTTTTACAGGTTTTGTAAGCTGCTCTTTCTAAGATTGTCAAATTTGCGACTGAGCTCTTCTATGAAAAGTTGTGACTTCCGTGAAAAATGCAAAAGGGCAAAAATGTTTGTTTTAATCTGATTCTGTGAGGTGCACTATAAGTACTTTTATACATGAATATCAAAGAGTATGTTATTAGGTGGTTCCATAAGTTCGTAGCGTTTTTATAAA